TATTGGTGCTCCTTCTCATTCGTTCGGAAATCGATCGTTCCCGTTCGCGTTTTCTTTGCAGCGGAAAATTAAAAAAGTACGCGTTTAGCAATAAATGCGCGAATGATACTCATCGAGATTTATTGCATCTGATTTCACGCTGACGCATATCAGTAAAAATCGATAATGTTTTTATATTGAAATTTGCTCTCACGTTCTTAAACGGATTTAAGCTGTCAATTAATGATTCACGGAGATACGGAGTAAATGTTTGATTGACAAGGCGATCGATAAACATAACTAATGAACTTCGAACTTTGGCTTTTAATCAGATAATCTCGTTATTAATTCTAGCTTCATTTGTATAACGAAAAATTTCCTATCGTTGAATACTATATTAATCTAGTTTCGAATAAATAATATAAATAAAAAGAGCAATACAGGCGTCGCATTGAATCTAATATTTTAAAAAATTTTAATTGTTTGCGAATTTTATAACTGCGGAATAATAAAGATGCTATCATTTTAGAATTATTTTCTATATTATAAAAAACTGTGCATTGTGTAAGAGTGATTGTGGCTCTCGTGATGTGTATAAATAGAATTGACAGTTCAATAGCAGAAATGTAATACGTAATATTTATCATCCAACGATTGAATTTGCAATCGAAATATTATCTGCCGCTACATCTATTTTTATATTCACAAATAACATTTCATGTGGCAGGTGCACAAATGATTCATTTGTGCCTCGATATTTTTATCGCTGACGACAAATAAATCTTCATTACGCTTTAATGATGATGAAAGGTCATATCGCGTATATACATTATAATTAAATACCGTTCCTACTTAACTCTAAATTGTTAGTGAGTAAAATAATAATAATAAAATTATTATAATTCGTCAAGACTAATCATTCAAGTTTTATATTATTGATAAATACATTAATTACAGATGTGAAAAATTATGCGAAGGGTTTTTGTCAAAACTTTAATGGACCTTCTATGAGCGACCACAAAGTAATGGCCGACACTAAACGTTACTACGTAACTATATAATCATGCTTCGTAGTATCTTCGTAGTTTGGAATTTTTAAGCACATTTTTATATACGTGTTTCGCATTCGTTATTGCGTACCGATGCAACAACGACCGGAGTATCGGAATTATTCGTGAGATTCTACCCGGTGGCAAGCCGCCTTAATGCAATTCCGAACACATTTTCTTAGTTGCTTCTTCTTGTTTTACTGTGAAAATCCTCGAGGCCGTTACGTTGGTAACGATAGGACCGGCACGGCAGGCTGTTACCGCCACATGCCGCCATAATATCGGGCAAAAGTTTTCTGGCCAGCAGGAGAAAATAATTTGATATGGCTCGCCGTTGCAAACCCTGTGCGCAGGTGGAACTTTGGAGGAAACGGGGATTCTCCAAAGTACAATTATGAAGCCGATGTTACCGCCGCTGCCAATTAAACCTAGTGCAATGCGCGATACAGAAGATCGCAAAGTTTTTTTTTAAACTTAAAAAAAAATTAAAATCTGCCCGGCAGGTGTCTTCACAGAGCAGAAATTGATTTTGATATCAACTCGGTATGATTTATCACAAAAAAAAGTTAAGATCTAATTTCTATTATGTATTATTAATTCTTTTTAATTAAGAGACCAGCGTAATATAAGAGAGACAATCTACACATTCCCGTCAAGAAAAATATTTGAGTAAGGCGCAAAACCGGAGAAATTAAAAATGTAAAAATCCTTGCATTTTATTTCACAAAAATGTTTTGCATAGTTTTTCTCTTCTTTAATATGAAATTTGTTACACGTTGAACGTCAACCCTTATCTTTTTCATCAGCATCCTTTATATCTGATTATTACATATTTGTATGAAAAAAAAAGACGAGAAAGAAAGGAAAGAAGCAGAAGCATAAAATTACGTTAAACCTTTTACAAAAGCCATATCGTAAAGAGGAGTGCGTTGGAAGGTATAGATCGTGCTCCATATTGAGTGGCAAAGTTAAGAGATCGCGAAGACGATTTCTTCTCTACACCTCCGCGCCTCCTCCCACCTTGTCTTTTCTCACCCTCGCGCAGTCTCTTTCTTCTTCCACATCCCCAAGACGCTCGTTTAAGCGTCCGGATCTCCCTTTATTCCCCTCCCTAGAAGTCTCTCGCTCGTTTCGCTCTGTCTCACTTATTCTTCTCACGACTTCCCATTACGACGCGCCAATGGTGAGTTCCGAGGCTTATTAAATTGTAACAATTTTAATTAGAGAAGCACCGTCGGCAACTCTCCCTCCCTCTTCCGTCCCGCTCCGCTCCGGCAATTTTGCTTTCTTCGCGCTTGTACGTACCTATCCCGCGACTAGGTATTTCTTTTCGGCTCCAGCGCGAGAGGAGCTGCCGGAAGATACCGACTCTGGTATTCTTTAGTTTTCTTTTAAAAGTTTAGCGCCACCTGCACTAACATTGTATTTTCTTATTTATCGAATAGGTGCGAGCACTCAGAGTCATTCGTAGCACACGGTGCATGGGCCGCTTTCTCTTATGATCGGTGAAACTTTTAGCGCGCTAACGAAGACGCAACGGTGATGCTCGAGATCCTTCTATGAGCAAGCTCGAAAAGTCGATTCATCTTTGAAAACTACAATATTGCTTCAAAAAATGACTTTTCAAACTTGATATATTAAAGAATGTTTCGGGATTATAACATGGGTCGAGTTTGAATCCACTTTTAATAGATTTAATGTAAGATAAATTAAATTTTGATAGATTAAACGCAAGATGAAGATAAGATCTCATATATATACACATAGTTTCATAATAGAAAACCTAAGACCTAAAAATAGTCTTTGATATTGTAGATCTACAGTTACATGCATTATACTTTTTTTACAAAATGTCACCCTTTGTAATTTTTTTCTATACTTTACTTTTTTTTTTTTAAAGAATTGAATTAAACTTTTACAAAAAAAATATTTTAATCCTGACTTTAAAATGAAACATTTTTAGACAAGACTTAATATTTTATCGAAAATTTGATACTATTTTATTAATATTAATCAGGAAAGAAATTCATTAGAAATTCTTTATTTTAACAACAGTGTGACGCATTGGAAATTTTTATCACATATTTGTGATAAAAAAAACTTATTGATTGCATATTAATAAATAATAACAAGAAATGATTGATTTTTCTCGATAAACTGTCACCTGCACTTATCAATTGAACTTCGTAAAGATGGATTAACTGATTTAGATAAACCGGTTTGATTCACATTTTTTCGTAATCTTTATATAATAAAAATATTGTTCAATGTTATATTAAAAAAAATATATAAAATATAATATCTTAATCTATTTATATTTTTTAATCATTAAAATAAATAATATAGAATTATTCATGTTGAAAAAATTTTTTACTTCTAGATAGATTTCTTTAATGAATAATAAAGAATAAGTTTGTTTAATTTTGAAAGTTGGAAAATTTTGCATATCTACTTCTTAGATAATTTACATGTGTATACTATTATTAATATATCAAGAATATTAGATATTCTAAAAGTTAATATTTAATACTCTTTCAAAAAATTACTTTAACGCATCGTTAGTTTTCACTCACTTCAATAATCGTTTCTATTAAAATTAATAATTAAATATTTTTCAACAATTTTGGAGTTCTAAATACTTTACTATAAAATTAAGATAGTATAAAAAATATCAAAATTTTGATTTTGTTACCAAATGCGTAACCAAATTATCAAATACGTGGAGCATTAGTTATGATTTTCTGGAACATCATATTTTACCGAGTGTTCTTATCATCATACAATAATTATTCGACTCGTGCAATTATCGGTAATCATCTGTACATGATCTGTATTCTTATATAATTATAAGCATAACTTTAAACATGTGTATGTATATTCAAATCACGCATTCGTATGTGTATGCATATTCAAATCACATCTTTGCGTATCCATATTATCTGCATAATCTTATCAGAAATTGAACAAAGAAGGGTTAATTTCGTGTGTATATAAGCCGGCGTAAGGATATGCAAAGCATACTTCTCTGAATCGCAAGTAAAGGTATTGTCACAGCAATCTTCCAAAAGTGAGTATCGACAAGCACGTAAATTAAAAATTTAGATACAAATTTTAATTCTAAAATATACATAGCAAGAATTTTGTAATAATATAAAAATTTTACCTCTTGGCTATTTTAATAATAAATAAAATTATTTTTTTATAATAATTACAGGTGCAAAATAATTAAGCAGAATATTTATGAGCCGCATGATTATAAAACACGAAATAATTTTAGAAAATTTGAGTGGAAAAGTGACGTAATTTTATACAACAGCTTATTAAAAAGCAACGTTTAAATTAATATTTATAATTCTTTTGCAAGTCATAATTATTTTATTAATTTAGTCATTTAACTTTCTTTCAAATATTTTGAAGTAAATTAGAATTATATAGCTTTGTATAAAAAATGTATTTTTGTTCAATCGACATGTTTTTATTTATTTACATATATTGCTAATATCAAATAAATTTTCAAAATCTATCTTATTAATTACTCGGTTGATCATTGAAATAACAATTTATTTGTATTTCAAATAAATCAATATATCGCAATAGAATTTAATCAGACGTATATGATAAAATTGAATAATATTTGCTATTTGCATGAAAAATTTTACATAAATCAGATTAGTAAATGTTTAACTAATATTTATTAATATAAACATCATAAATGTTATATTAAAAATCTGCTTTCATTAAAACATAAAAGTACTATTTACATATTTAACACTAGAAAGTGAAAACGTAATATGGTTGAAAAAATCAGTTTGCGATATGTAGCTAGTTCCATTTGCGATTTTGTAGCCAGTTCACTAGCTTATCAGAATCATATCGCAATCTGTGTGCTATAATATAATAATGCAAAGTATAAGTGCAATGTACATTCAAATGCGTCAATAATCTAACAATAAGCAAAATTTACTTTCGCAGATGAAATTCGCATTGGCACTGTTGGCCCTCGTGGCAACAACCACCGCATACAGATTCCCTAACGTCGGCAGAGGCGAGCTTGCAAAGGAGCTCCAGGACTTTTTGGATATTATGCCTCAAGATGAAATAGCTGCAATAACTGTACAATACTATAATGAAGATGCAGAGTTTAAGGCTATGATCGAGTACTTCAAGAGTGAAGAGTTCAAACAGCTAGTAAAAGAAGTCGAAAATTTGCCCGAGGTGAAAGATTTGATGGAATATATCTATAACGCCGGTCTTGACATTTACCAGATGGTGGACAAATTAAACAGCTGGCTCGGAATCCTACCTTTCACCCGCAACTTCGCCGGGAAACAGATTACCGGTGGAATTCGTGGATATGTCGATGACATCTTAGCCATCCTACCTAATGATAAGATCGACGCGCTTTACGAAGAAAAAATGCAAAACTCTCCGGTATTCATCAATTTCATAAAGCAACTGCAGTCCGAAAATTTCCAAAAAATCATAAATCAGGTTTACTGTAACACGGCATTCCTGGATCTCCTGAAACACGCTAAGAATGCCGGCATTGATCTCATACTCGTCAAGAACTTGATAGAGCGTCTCCTCGGCGTCTTTATTCCCTCTCCTGACGAGTGTTTGTTCTAAGATGGACGTCAACGCGCTACATTGAAAAGTAAATATTTCTTTCTTTTCTTAGTATTAAATATATAAATAGCAATTTTTTAAAAAACACAATCTTGTAAATATTGTATTATAGACCACTCGGCTATGTAATACTTATGATACAATAAATAAGAAGCTTAAACATTATTATATTTCTTTCTTCATGTAAATATCTTTTCCCTTTGTCCCGTATTTTATCAAAGTAAGTTTGAATATTTAAATACTAATTAATATTTGATCATCCATAGATTTTGCAAAATTATAAGATTTGTTAACAAAGTTGTTAACAAATCTTATAATTAGGAAATATAGTAATAAAACATATTTTCTTTCTCTCTTATCTAAACCTTTCTGTAGTAAATACACTGTCAGTAAATTCGCTGAAAGTTATTCTGTTGTAACGTCAAGAAGCAGAAAGCTACTTTTACGAAAGTACATGTGAAAGAAAAGTAATTGAAAAGAAAAGTTATCGAGTTGTGGAAAATCTACTATGTTACAGTTTAAAAGACGGAAAATAAAACAGTAAATGTATGGTTTTCCTAAATAAATAAATAATAATTTTTGTGTCAGAATAAAATACATTTAATAAAACTAACAAAATATGTAAGTATAAAAAGCGAACAGTTATCAAGAATAATTTCATGACCGGTCAGTTGCATTGTTCGTAGATGACTCCGGCTCTGTTCTCGTCGTCCGTCTCTGTATTGCCTTTTGCATGAAAACCACTCATGCCCGGACGCTTCAACGAGTCTCGCGTTTGCATGTATGATAAACGTTCTATTTATTTCTTCGATCAAAATATACCTCTCGCTAATATCTATCTTATATTACAATATTTCTACAGATAAGAATTAAGACAAGAGGTAAATAAGAGATATTTATAAAAAGTGCTTGATTTTTACATTTAATTCATATTTAATTCTTCATTATTTTATTTACATCACAGAAAAAGAAACAAATAAAATTATTAGTTTATTATAAAATAAAATATATAGATTATCAAAAAATAATTATTGAACGCAAAGATTCTTCCCAATAAACACTTATTGGTATAAATATAGTATAATATACATATCAACAGTTTAGAATTGGTATAGGTATAAATGATAAACGATTCTTATACCGTATAATAGTATACGTTTAAAAATTCGTAATATAAACATTTCTTAAACGTTTTCAATTAGTATAGATGTAAGTCATAAACGGTTCTTATACTGCTCAATAATATACGTTAAAAAATTGTAATAAATATACGATTTTAAAACATTTTTTATTAGTATAAGTATATAATAACGATTCTTTTAACATATAATACTATACGTTAAAAAGCGTAATTATTATATATTTTTTTTAACATTTCAAATTAATCTAGCTCTACAAATAATAAATATATTTCTTACATTGTATAATAGAATACATAAAAAAATTGCAATAAATATATTTTCTTTAAACGGTTTTAATACTTAATAATTTAATATAATAGATTAAGTATAATAATAAACGATTTTTATACGCGCAATACTAATTGTTAAAAAATTCCCTTTATCCCGTTCATTTATTACAATTTTTACTGTATATATATATATATAGTAAATATATATATATATATAGTAAAAAAAGCAGTTATATAAAAAACGAGCGAAGACGCGGGAACACGGTTCCGCGTGAATCACGTTCCTATGCGCTTGCGCTGAGTGACTTTTGTTTATGGGTGTGTTTCTTTCTAGCTTTCAATAGTGTCGCATTTGTTTTATCATCACGGCAACTTAACTCTCAGTTATACCAGCCGTAATTCGCTCTTGTCTAGTTTATGTGGTCCGTTGAAATAACAATTAAGTCTGCCCAAACTAGTATCAATTGCAATAAATGTAAGTACCCAATAAAGTAATTATTTTATATAAATATACACAATAGAAATGCTATAAATTATAAATCAAGGATCTCTAACCTAGAAATGATACGCGCGTTTCATATATGTTTTATATACGTTTAGGAAATGTTTAAAAATGAACATGTGCCATGAACATGTGCATTGTGGACAGTTGTGTTTTAATAATTATATATTCGCGACTTCGCTTTTTGTCTACGAAGGTTGGAGAACTTTGCTATAAAATATATATTACAATATATATTAAATGCATATTAACTTTTCTTGTATAATCACATATATATTTTATATTAAAAATTATAAAGTATATATATATATATATATATATATATATATTTATTATATTTATTTCTTCTTTTCATTACAGCGTACAAGACTAGTGTCAATCGGTGGTGAAAATCAACGTTGTTGTGTGATGAGCATGTTACGATTTCTATTAACGAACAAATTAGCAACGCACTTTAATTGGGCTGGACGGAAAAAGATTGCTTTTAAAGGAAAAAGACTTATGAGCGTTATTTACGGTATATATATAACTATTATTAATTTTCTCAACAAAAGTTTCTTATCCAATTAAATAAAAAATATGTAAATATATTTATCATTTTCTTAGCAAGTGCCAAACTAGCCTTCAATGAGATAAGTGGGCCATATACGGGAGATAAGATTATTGAAAGCGCTGTAAAGGACTGGTTGAAGTTAGCAAATAATCGGTTAAGTTATTCTATTACTAAGAAAAATATTTAATTATTTTCATGATCTCTTATGTATTTTTCATATTTTATTTAATAGAAAATTAATCATCATTTTTTAATCTATTTAATAAGAAAACCAACCTACTTTTTATAATTCATATTAAAACTGTATGTGAATTTCTTATTTTTATAGTATTCTTATAATAAATCTTCTTATAACAAATTATATACTTTATTAATGTAATTTTTAAATTTTATTAGCCTACACATACACGCACGCGCGAATGTGTGTGTGTGTAAAATGTTAACCTTACGTTTATAAATACGTTTATAAATACATATATAAAATGGGATTAGTTAGGGACATGTCCATCAATTATACACGTTTAATTTATACGTTTCTTATACTGTATAGCATGTTTATATAAATACGTTTATAAATACGTTAAAAATACGTTTCATAAATATGTTTATAAATCCATTTATATATACGTAGATAAAATGGGATGGATTGCGGACATGTCCACTGATTATATAGATTTATTTCATACGTTTCTTACACCGTATAGTACGTATAGTTCTATGGATTATTATACGTATCTTATATCAATTCGTGTTTATTGGGTTATGTTTCATTATTACATCAACGTGCAACGGCAAAAATATCAAATTGCAATTGGTCATCAAATTACAAAAAATATCCATACATAAAAATTACATACAAATATGTAATAATTTTACATTACATAAATATAAAAATATAAATCCGATTCTAATATGAGAATTTAAAATCAAATATTCTACTAATAAATTTTGTCACTTTTTGAAGTTCCAATCCATGTTCTCCGATTCTCGTGATGAACTTCTTACAAGTCTTATTGGCATACAGAACGGTGATTTTTCTGCAAGTTCGAGGACTTTAACTCCACGATAAAATCAGCGAAGACTTTGGAATTCTGCAGCTTCTTCTTGTAGAAAGCATCAATTTTATTCAACGGTAGTATAAAGATCTCTATATCGCTTTTCTTCGCCGATTTTTTGTACACCAACTTTAGATTAAAAAATGCTGTCTATTGTAGATAGCACAAAATTTTAGTTGATTTATATCAATGACCGATTATATAAAAACTGAATATAATTGATAACATTTAATTCTTCTCTGGATACATTACGATTTGATATTCTTTAGACCTTCGACGTTGTGCAAGATATGGAATTCGAGTGTAAGGCTGTACAAAAAAGTGTTCTATAAATTTCCGTCTGTTTTGACACTACTGCAACAAATATTTCTTTCGGAATAAGATTCCAAAGTGCTGAAGCTCATCCCCCATTGCGCGCTCAGCGTGAGAAAGATCTGGATCGTTCGGTGTAATGACACCGAGAACAATATACTGGACATCCGACACAATTTGCGTGTTCACTCCGCTGCTCTTGAGGCCATTCAGAAGGGTCTCGTAAGCCTTAATGTCGTAAAGTTTGTTAACCAGTTGCTGGAAGTTTTTAGACTGGAGCTGACTGATCAAGCCGGTGAAAGCTGAAGAGGTTTTCAGTTTCCGAACGTAGATGCGAATGATAGCTTCGTAATTAAATAATGCTTTGATGTCTTCAAAAAGTCCAGAAATTCCACCAGTCCTCAGGATACCGGAAGCCGAACGTGAAGGTGGTTCGAGTTCCTTGATTCCGAGATATCTGTTAAGTTCATTTATTACTTCGTAAATTTCGATACCTTCCTTTTGCAAATAGTTCAACAAATTGATAAATTCGGGAATGGCCTCGACACCCTCTAGCAATTCTTGAAGTATAGTCGAAGTTAAAAGATAGTTGACAGCTTCTTGTACTTCAGGATCGTTTTCCATGTAATCTAGCACAACTTCTTGAATTTGTGATGCAGGAATTAAATCGAAAAGGTCTTGGATGTCCTCATGAAGAGGACCTTTACCGAAATCTGGAAACTGATGAGCTTTGCCTAGACCGATAATGGCCAAGACGGCAAACAACGCCAATATAAATTTCATCTGTACACATAACATACTCTTATATAAAAAACGATTATTAAATATTGTAATATATTTTTTAATGTATATAATATTATATATAAAAAAATATATCGGTTTTACAATTTATTTGTAATTTAACATAAATGACAAAAGAGTAACATAATGATTATTTTAACTAAGATATTCTCTGTTATTATGAAAAATATTATTTAATTAATTTAATCACATTTTTATTAGGAAACAATTTGTTCTAGATTAATCATAAAAACTATAATTGAAATCACGAGCAACAGTTTTGTATAAATTATTTAATAAAATTAATTTTCAAAAAAATCTACTTTCTCTTTTACTTACTGTGATAGCTGAAAGCACTGACATCAGTACGTAATTGTGCGTATACCGAGAACTTATATACCGAGAACATCACGATTTTTAAAAAAACCACTTTAAAAAATTAGATAAGATTGTGATCAAATACTGTTGTTGAAAAAATGTAATGTTAAGTTGATAAGATAAACATAACAACCATATCAAAATGAAATATCGTAATTGTTTGTCTCTTCTATTTATATGTATTTTTTTACTTAAAATATTGTATATCGCTAAATTTAATTTCTATAAAACTTTTATCATTTAATCTAGTGTTACATGTACTTAAGCAAGTTTTATTGTATACTTTTAATATAAAAAGTAATTTAAAATAGTAAAATTTATAGTAAAAATATTCTTGTTATTTAGTATAAGCGACAAATTACTGCATTTTATTATCAAAATTTTTCACGTTATTATTTTTATAAATAGCTATTTGACATTTTGTAATTTTATATCCTTTCTAATAACAAAAAATATGATATTGTTGCAAATAAATTAAATTATTTTTGTAAATTAAAATAATATTTTTGATAATAGAATTTACATTTTTGTATTTTTTAAAATAATTGTTGCATAACTAACAATTATATAAATAAATAAAGAATATTATTTTAAAAATAAATTGTAATTAATGATTTAAAAATACAGATTAATAGATAACATAATTATCAGACTTTCAAAATCGAACAAATCTACGAGATAAGACAACTAGTTAAAAGTAATTTGTAATTAAAGAAAAATTGGTCAAGATTCTAGAACTTACTAGTACCTTTCTTTCTAACATTCTTTTTATAGATTTTCACAGTTATGTTTAGAATTTCTTATTAAGTTTGGCTTTTCGTTAAGCTTTAAAAGTAATTAATTTAAAATTTTTTTAAATAATTAATTAATTAAGAAAGTAAAATATATAAAACTTGCTATTGTGCATATAAAAAAGCTATATAAGAAACAAAAAATTTATTAAAAATAAAATTTAAAAGTAATGCATAAAAATGCATTACTTTAAAGACAAGATGCATATAGATAAAGTAAATAATGAATTTACATGTCTTCTCTATGCCTAGAAATTTGAAGATATTTGACAAAATAAATGAATAAATGAATAAATGACAATACAACTTATTATCAAAACCTTATTATTTTACTTATCATATTGATAAATCATTATTTGATGATGTAGAATTCTACCTGTACATGTTGAATAATAAGAAATGATATTAACATTTTATCTGTTATACTTATTGTTAGAAATTATTCAAATCAAAATTTACCATATGTTACTATAAATTCATCAGTAATAATAAATCAGATTTGCACAAATTACGTCACTATATTTATAACACATTGATAATATTATAATTGAAATAAATATGTGTCACATTAATAAGATAATCGTAAAGATTGAATTGATTGAATAAATGATTCTTAACTTTTTCGTAAATCAATATCTCTCAATCTATAATTGTGATCTTATCAAATTATCTATCTCTTCATATAGCGTGATGCTACTAGTATATAAATCAGCTGAAATGTTTTATAGACCTCAATGCACATTCAGCCATCACGGTGAGTAAAAAAAGTTTCTTTGTATGCTTTTATAAGTTTGCTTAAAAATTATTTTTATTGTCTCTTAAAGTCTATTAAAAAAATAAGCAAAGAATAAACAATATATAGGCAATATACAATATAATTTAATTCAGTTAAGTATGATTATTATCTTTTTCATTCAGGTTACAATATATTTGTAAATATTCTGTACAAATCAATGGCAAATAGAGGAAAAATCGAAAAATAAAGAATAAAAAAATATATTTTACAAAATAATACTTTTTTGATATATCATATTTATATTTATCTAATTTATACTAATTTGGCACATGTAAATATGTTATATTTACAGATGAAACTTGTATTTGCGCTAGTCACCGTCCTGGCCATCTTTGGCCTGGGCCAAGCCCACCAATTTCCCGATTTCGGCAAAGGTCCCCTTCACGAAGATATCCAAGACTTTTTGGATTTGATCCCCGTAACAGAAATTGCCGAAGTCATTGTGGATTACATAGAACACGATCATGAAGTAAAAGCTATTGCTGACTATCTCCGAAAAGATCCATCTTTAATCAGAAATCTGTGGATAGAATTCCAGTCTGTTCCTGAACTTTTGAATCTTCTCAATTATATGCAGAAGGAGGGTGTCAAAATCTACGAAGTGATAAACGAGGTTAACAGAGCTCTTAATATAAAGGAACTCGTACCACCTGCTGATACGTACTCTATTACCACGAAGAGGACTGGTGGACTCGCCGGATTTTTCAAAGACATCAAGGCTCTGTTCAATTATGACGACTTCATTTCCACGTACGTGAACAAGATGCGTCACTCAAAAGCCTTCGTCAATTTCATCAACGAACTCAAATCCGACAACTTCCAGCGATTTGTTAATAAATTTTACTACAAAAAGTCCGTCCAATTGGTTCTGGCGGGCCTCAAAAGGAGCGGAGTGAACACGCGAGTTGTAGCGAATATCATGTATCTCGTTCTCGGCATCACTGTACCGGACAGGCCTCCTAAAACGGTACAAGAAGAGCTGATGGACTTTCTGGCGCTAGTTCCGGTGCAGCAATTCCTTGATATAATACTGCAATATATAAACGAAGACGAACAAGTTAAAAACGCTTACATATACATGTTCACACCCGAGTTTCATACTTTAATACGCTCTATCGAAGCGCTTAAAGAACATCAAGCGTTAGTAGTATTTGTGCAAAAAGCTGGTGTCAACGTCATCGAAGCTATTCAGCAGTTCCACAGGTCCATCGGTATGGAGGAGTATGTGCCTCCTAAAATAGAAAGCCTCCTGACACACAAAGCTGGACTGCAAAAAATCGGCGATGGAATGAAGGGAATGCTCGAGGATTTGTATGCTGTATTACCTTTGGACAAAATCGACGCTCTTTACAAGGAAAAGATGATGAACTCCGAGGTCTTCGCTGAGTTCATTGCAAAAATGTCTTCCCCGGAGATGCAGGAAATCGTCACAAATTTGTACAACCATCCAACTTACAAAGATGCCCTCATGAAGACCAGAGAAAAGGGATTGGAACTCGAGGGATTGACAAAACTTGCCTCTAGAATATTTGGTATTAAATTCCCTGATATGATGCTCGCATCATTCTGAACATTTATGACTTGCAACCTAAACACTATTACACGCTGATGTAATAACGAAATATAAGAGTTTTCAAATTCAATAATTACTTCTTTATAATTAACAATAAATTCATTGGCTCATAAATGAATTACTTATATCATTTGCTTCTCACTACATGAATAATGAAATAAATGAGTGCTAAAAAAAACAATCATTTTCCATCGTGTTCTACCGATCTACCTACATATATTAGCTTTAAGATTTCTATATTGTACCATAAAATATAAAAAAACAATATTTTACCGACATATTTTCTGAATATAGAAAAAGCATATTTGCTTTGAAATTCTTGAAAAATTTATATTTACTAAATTTAAAAAATAGAATAAAACAATATGTACTTGTTATTATAATTGCAAGTATACTAAACGACACATAAATCGATTTCACTTCTATTTTAATTTTATTAATAAGATTACATTTATAAGAACGCGATAGCACTAGTACTATAAATTTTGAAATAGGAAGTGCAAAAGCGGGCGATATATGCAGAATTCATTGCTTCCTTTTTTTTATTCAGAATCGCCAATTCGTGTCATTTGCCTAATATGAACGAATAATTCATCACCGGGTTTCAGCGGATAAGTGTGATATCTGTTCTGAGGACTAGAAGAATCAATTCTACAATCGCGATATTTTAAGAGGATGTAATATAAGTATCTGTTTAAATATACATAATCCATTTTGAGGCTAAAATGTTATATCTTATCGATTACGTGAAATCCATATTTGTGATAACGATATTTTTTAGCGATTATTATCAAAACGGTAATAGATAGTAGGTGCATAAGCATCAATTTCCGAACCAAGTTTTGTTTGTAAAAATATGATTACACGCGATAATAATTATAGATCGTTTATCGTGCTATAACCAATCGAACGGTTTTTATCACAAATACGACAAAGATGTTACGCCTTTTTCCAACAGTAAGATCGTTCGAGGAGTTGTAAAAACAGCGGCAAGCACTTTTACGGAAGACCTCGAGCGAGTTTACCAAGTTCATGGATGATAGAAATTAATTCCTCTCAAGATGTCAGAAACTGCATGAACGCGGCGATGTCGCGCTAGTGTGAGTTGCGTGCTGAAGTCAGGATGGCAGCAGCCAGGGAGAAGACCGGGGACAAAGGAAGGTGCTGGTTCGAAGTATAGGATTCAGAAGGGCGCGAGGGCAAGCGGCTCGCGGTGTCTGCAGCAAACAATTCCAATTAACTTGCTGGAATTGGAATAGGACTTGTACTCGTCGGCCCGGCCGACTCTCGGCTCCTGAATGCCATAGCGTCGAGAACGACGAGGACATGAGCATTCCTTCGCCCATCTGTCGCGCTTTCTCATTTTTTTTTTTTTTATCAAATATTGCCGTTATACTATACGCCTAAAAATCACATGTCCGACTTAGCTCAGGCAAAATCCCAAACCGGAGAAATTATGATGCTCGCAAAAATCGACTGGAAAAAATAAACCATTTTTTTACGTACGTTCTAACTTAATAATACTTTCAATTGCCATTTACGCAATGATTATAATTAATCGCAGTCTATAAAATTGATTATATTAATTACCATAATTTTTTTTTTACTTTTAGCGGTACACGCAAATAAAAGTTACACATTTCTATGCCAACTTGTTAAAAATCATTAGAGACATCATCGTAAATATTCTGCGATAAAACACATTAATTTCAAATCTTCTATTAATTACAAAGAAATGTTCAAAAATCGATTCGACGATTCTATAGATATGATAGACGAAAAACGCGCCATGAAACAAAAACAAATTTTTGCGAGTTCCAAATAAATGGGAAAACGAGGTTGCCTGCGAAGCGTGCTTTCTTTGGACGCGTACGGCAGCCAGTAGGGCCATTATCCGTTGCATAATGCTCGTCATCGTCATCAGACGAGGCAGTTATAAAGCACAGTGAGCGGGGCCGCGTCGCCGCCCTAGACAATGCCGTAGCTGCTCAGATATTGAAGACGCCCGAAAGCTGTATGTACCAATCCCGATGTGTACACAACGTCTAGCTTGACTCTCAACATTATTAAATCCTACCTTGCCCGTGGACCAAGCGCGCGGAACAATGAAGTTCTTTAAGCGTCCATCACGTCACGGTAACGTGTTGCGAATCGCGAATCGGCCCGCTGGATAAAGTTATCTCGTCACGCGTACATTCGCCAATTCTCGCTGGTTTCATACATGTATAAGCGTATTCACGGGTGAATCACATAAATTAATCACATAAATCTTTCAATTCAGAGCTCATCGTTTCTTATGATGCAATATATTTCTTACAGCATTTGTGTTTTGCTATATGTTTCTTATTTGTGTTTTGTCTAATTATAAAGATACTCCCGAAAGAATAGAGTACACGTCTTTACTGTTCTGTTGCTAAATTGCCTTATCTCTTTCCCGTCTGCAATCCTTACTCTATGAGAAAACATTATCTGCCGTATAATCGCAGAAATCGCGACGAATTTACAGATCGTTCGCAGAAACGTATTGTCCATCCGACGTGATTGCACGGGTGTCATATAATCGACAGCTCGTAAATTTCAAACGGCCTAATCCATGAGACGTCGCGTCACGTCGTTACCCGCATCGTCAGCGCGGCGTCGTGAACGAGCGCCGTGATCGTCGTCGTCGCTGCTGAAATCCCACTCCAGACAGGGAAGACATTTAAAAGTAAGTATAGTTGGACAGATCCGCCTAGCAGGTTTAAAAGTCAAGTGCCAAGAGCGCAGTTTATCCCATCTATTTGCTAGATGTGGAGAAAGAAAGAAAGTCTGAGAGCAGAACGGCCACTACACGAGGAGAGGGACGAAGGGAAGAAGGCGCGGGACTGCAGTCTCTAACCCCGCTTTTACCTCGACTCATTACGCCGACACGACGACTACTTCATTGAATGACTCATTTTATTTTCCGGCATGAAAAGTATCATTTTTCCCGCTCTTTTTGTTCACCCTGGATCTTGGTATCCTGCCTGCCTCCTCGTCTCACTTGCTGATCTCATTATCCCTCGTTTCCGTCCACCCGTTCTCAAGTGAACAAACACAAGAAGTACGCGAGTTTTCGTTCGGAAAATGGCCGTATGAACATTCACTCCAAATGCAAATATTTGTATATTTTATCACGTCGACTCTATAAAATAGTCCAATGAAGAGGGAGCGCTTATAATCAGCCACAAAGTTTTGCGAGAACATAAGATAATACAAACAAAAATTATTTAGACAGAAAAATGGTACCACTACAAAAACTCCACTTCTTTACTAACAATTAATTAATTAATTGGTAATATATTAATCGTAAGTGAAACACGCGCACAATTTACACGCCTTGAAAGACAAAAGATGCCAATTATTGCACCATCGATCGCATGACGAAGATGTCGCGATAGCTATCATCCGCCTTCACACACAGCGCGTGTGTGTATCCAATATTGGAAATTCTATATCACACGCTCTCCAACGCGGGTGTGGTCGTAGTCGTTCACACGTACGTGCACGATATCTCGATACAGATATGTTTATTACCGGGAACGACATAGACACTCTCCCGCTCTCTGGCTATGACTTATCGGACGCGACTTGTTGCGCGTACACGTTCAACCGCGAAACAATTGTTTCCGATCTTTCCTAGATTACGACGCTACGTTGTAGCGATTAATAACGCGATTGATGATAAACTATCGTTGCGAATCCGCGTCACGAAATTGCAATTAAGAGATCGTAAAAGTCCAATAATAAACAATCAATTTTTTTTCTTACGGTAGCTTCCTCCGCTGCTTGAGATGCATCCGAGAAATACGACGACCGTGAGACTCATTAAACTCACGAAAGATGCGCGCTCAAACAATGAAAAGCGCTTCTTCAAAGTCCTAAAAAAAGAGCACGGTATCCTCAGTCGCAAAGTCAGCAATTAAGAATGCGCGTCTGTTCTTTGGAAAGAACTCTCTGAATTACACAGCATATTTTTGATAATGCTTAGCGCAGCTAATTACTGATAAAAAACGACAGCAAAAAATTTACAACTTCAGGGATTCTAAATAACAACATTTAAATGCAGTTGTTTTTAGATATATAGAAATCTTAAAAATAAAGTAAAATAATATTTTATATTATTTCAATATGCAAAACGCAGAACATTATAATTATTTCATAAATTACTATTTAATATGTTAAACTATTTGTTACAAATTTAAAAAAAAATTCATATTTTTTTTTTATATATAATTAAATCTGATGTTAAAAAATTATTGTATAATTTTGGAAAACGATAGCTTATTTCTGTAAGAAACTGAACTAGAGAGAAAAAGTCTGTTATGAAGCAGGCTTTACCGTCCAACACACGTGTGTCGACTGGCGAACGCGAGGATATGTGAGAAGAAAGACGACGGGGTAAGAGAAAGATAAAAAACGGGGGGGTGAGTTGCCAAGAGAACGTCGGAGAAAGTACGGAGTGCTGTTAGAATGCGAGAAGTATGTTCGCAATCAGCAGAGTTGCTGTCTACGTCGGTCCGTTCGAATTCGCAAGCGCATCACGTCGTTACATAACGAGATTATATCATTAACCAGTTACTGAGATGCAGACAACGACTGTTGTCGATAACGATATGAGATTCAACTCAGTGTTTGCTGATTAATAAGCATCACATGCATCGAGTTTTTGAAGTGTGTAAGACACACCCAGTGCTTGACGACAAAAATATCAATGAAAGACTTTTCATTGCGTTAAAGATGCGCAAGAATGTAATTAACATTTATATGTTGCCGAAAGTAAACAAAATTTGGAAATTATCTGAAATAATAACACCGTCAGAATATAAAATTCATATAATATAAAATAAAACAACGTTTTGACTGATTTTATTTCAAAATATCATTAATAAAAAAACTATTCATTTTTTTAACAGTTATATCAGACTGATAAAAGATAAAAAGCATATTAATTCTCCACACAATTTTTATCTGAAAAGATCTAATATCTATTATAATTTTTTGAAACTGAAAAATTCTATGAAATTTTATTCTACTTTTTTTAGACTCTAACATCAAATTTGTTCTTTTAATTAATAGAGAAGTAAATTAAAAAAAAAATGAATAAATAAATTTGAAACAGCAGCACAAAAAAAGCTAAATAGAATAGACTGCATTAATATTTTA